TGATTTTATACTTTTCTTTAGGCTCTTGCTGACCTACTCTTGTCATATGTATCCAATAGTGCACTGTACTTCCACATTAATGCTTGAGGCCCTGATGTCAGTGGTCTTGCCCACTCCGTATCTAGCTCAACTTTTAAAGCTTATACATCACTCGTAGATACCTAACATGATGTGCAGCACTCGAACCAGTTATGATCCTCTATATCACTAACACTCACCATGCGGTCTGTCATTACCTATATTGTGTTAAAGCATGTACCTACCCATGGGCATCCGCAGTGGGAGGTAAAGGGGGACACTTGCCTCCGCCCCCCTTGGATTTTTCAGCTTGTTCTGCTATTTTTTGTGTGAGGTTGAAAATACAGTGCAATATCGGTGCCGGCCAGTAGGCACTGTGTATGGAGAGAGACAGGGATAGGAAGCTACATCATATTCCTGCTTCTCTCTCCTGACTGAATCCACAGGGAAGCAGCACAGAGTGCAGCCAGCAACTCCCATCCTGCAGAAACAGCCTACAGATCAGATAAGTGAGGGATGGGGAGGGGGAGGGAAAGACTATAGATCAGGGTAGTGAGGCATAAGGGGGCAGTCTATAGATCAGGGTAGTGAGGCATGGGGGGCAGCCTATAGATCAGGGTAGTGAGGCATGGGAGGGCAGCCAATAGATCAGGGTAGTGAGGCATGGGGGGCAGCCTATAGATCAGGGTAGTGAGGCATTGGGGGCAGCCTATAGATCAGGGAAGTGAGGCATGGGGGGCAGCCTATAGTTTAGGGTAGTGAGGCATGGGGGGCAGCCTATAGATCAGGGCAGTGAGGCATAGGGGGGCAACCCATGGATCAGGAAGTGAGGCATGGGGGCAGCCTATAGATCAGGGAAGTGAGGCATGGGGGGGGGCAGCCTATAGATCAGGAAAGTGAGTGATGGGGGGAGAGACAGCCTATAGATCAGGTAAGTTAGAGATGGGGGATCCACCTACAGATCAGGTAAGTTAGAGATGGGGGGATCCACCTACAGATCAGCTAAGTGAGGGATGAGGGGGATACAGCCTATAGATCAGGTAAGTGAGGGATGGGGAGACCCTACAGGAAGGGTCAGCAGGCAGCAGGAAGGGGCAGCAAGGAATTGGAAGGGACAGCAATGAGCACAAAAGGTAAAGTAGAAGAAGGAGCACAAAGGAACAGAAATGAGCAGCAAGAAGCAGGGAATGTCTGCAAGGAGCAGGAAGGGTCTGCAAGGAGCACAAAGGGTCAGCAAGGAGAAGGAAGGGTCAGCAAGGAGCAGGAAGGATCAGCAAGGAGCTGGAAGGTAAAGCAGCACAAAGGTAAAGTAGAAGGAGCAGAAAGGGCAGCAATGAGCTGGAAGGGGCAGAAGGAGCACAAACGTAAAGTTGGAGAAGGAGCAGAAATTAGCAGGAAGGGTATGCAAGGAGCAGGAAGGGGCAGCAAGGAGCAGGAATGGTCTGCAAGGAGCAGGTAGAGTCTGCAAGGAACAGGGAGGGTGTGCAAGGGGCAGCATGGAGCAGGAGGGGTCTGCATGGAGAAGGAAGGGTCTGCAAAGAGCAGAAAGGGACAGAAGGAGCACAAAGGTAAAGGAGCAGAAAAATCAGAAGGAGCACAAAGGTAAAGCAGGAGAAGGAGCAGAAAGGGGTAGCAATGAGCTGGAGGGGCAGAAGGTGTGCAAATGTAAAGTAGGAGAAGGAGCAGAAAGGAACAGGAAGGGACAGCAAGGCGCTCACAGGTAAAGTGGGAGAAGAAGCAGAAAGGGTCTGCAAGGAGCAGAAAGGGATCAGAAAGAGAAAGGAGCAGAAGGGCGCAAAATAAGCAGAAAGTAGCAGAAAGGTAAAGTAGCAGAAGGAGCCAAGGAGGAGAGAAGACAGTGTCAGAAGAAAAAGAAGACTTTGTCAAATGAAGGAGAAGAAAAGGAGAGGCTTTGTTACCTGGGTATGGCAGGGAGACTTTGGACCTTCTCATCGCCCCAGGTAAAAAATAAATGTCAGTGTTAATGTGTTCACTTTTATTTACTGAGTGTCAGGAAGCATAGAGTGCCGCTGGGTACGGGTGTCGCTGATTGGCTAGAGCGGTCAGCTGGCACACTAAGCCAATGAGTAGCTCGACATTCATAAAAAAGTAAAACATTTTTATGAACCAGGAACTAGTGATTGGCTTAGAGCGTCAACTGAGCACTCTAGCCAATCTGCAGCACCCATGCCTGACGTCAATCGGCACTTCCTGACACTCCGTTTCACAAGCCGAATACCACTGAGTGACCTGGAGATCTGAAGCTGGAGGAAGCCTTTGGGATTAAACCATTTGAGAGCAGTTTAACCCCTTAAATGAAAGAGAGCACCCTAGGGGCTTCCTGGCATTGTAGCATTTTCATTTAGATGAAATTGTTATGGTGACCAGAATGTTCCTTTAATTTGCTTAAAAGAACACTATAGTGTCAGGAATACAAACATGTATTTCTGACACCATAGTTGTGAAAAAGCTATTCACCCTTGCTTTATGTGATAATGACTTTGCCCCTTCCCTTTCATGACACTGTCAAAAAGAGACCAAGCATGGATGTCATTACAATTATGCCCCCCCCCCCCCGGAAAAATTTATGCGGATGCCCATGTACCTATCTCATTAGTATTGTAATTCACTATACCATCAGTCCACATAACTGGACATATCAACCCCTTCTATTTTCCTGATTACTGGCGTAAATAGACCTAAGCATGTCTGCTATACTAAAACATGTGCAGTTTAACTCATGCCATGCTATTATCTCTGTTGAAATGCTTATATGTGCTGTTGTGGCATTGTATGTATGTATGTCAGTCTCTTGCACAGCAAATAAATAAATAAAGCGAATAATTTAATCCTATGACAATAGTTTCTGATCTCCCTTTGATTTTAAATTGATCATCTCCCTGAAGTCCATGCAATGTATAAAGATTCGCATGCACAAATATTTAATAACTTATTCACTGTTCATAATACATGCACAAATACACAAACTGTATGTGTCTGTGTATCAGGATTATTTAGTAAAGTTTGAATTAATTTGAAACCTAAGGTCACAATAGCTGAACTGCAAGCATTCTCTAAGTCAACTATAATTTCAGTTTGGCTACTCTCACCTTAAACTATGAATTCACTTTGAATACACCCCTGTAGATGTGCATGTATAAATGTGTGTATTAATATTATTTTATTATTTATATACAGGGCTAGATTAAGAGCCAAGTGGGCCTGGTGCTGACAATTATGATGGGCCTAATTACAGAATTTATCGACCAAAAACACTAAAACTGTCATACCTCTCGAGCGACATGTATCTGATGGAGTTGGTGTTGGAGGGAAACTCAAAGGATGCAGCTATAAGAAAACACATACTCTACGCTAATCTCTAATTTTATGCTTTCAGCTTTCAAGTAAATCCATACCCCCTAAGAGCAGTATCCAGTGAAGCAGGAAGTCAATAGGTGGGGTAAAAGGGTGGGCCACTGACGTGAATCACGTGACCAGAACTGCCAAAAGGGATGAACATGCCCAAAAAGGGGGCATGTCTGTCCAAAGAATTGGAAGGCCAGCCTGGCATCAGTGCCCCTATGTATCACAGTGTCAGTGTCCCCATGTTGCCCAGTCCCCTAGTCTCCCAGATTCTGTGTCCCCATTTCTCCCAGTGTCCCCATGTCTCAGTGTGTCCCGTGTCACTAGGATACTAGGGGACACTGAGAGACATGGGGACACAATGAGACATGTGGACACTGAGAGACGCAGGGACACTGAGACACTTGGGGACACTGAGAGACATGGGGGGCACTGAGACATGGGGGCACTTGTGGACATAGACATGGGGACACTGGGAGACATGGGGACACTAGAGACATGGAGACATGGGGACACAGACATTGGGGGACATGGTGACACTTGGGGACACTGGGAGACATGGGGGCACTTGTGGATACAGACATGGTGACACTGGGAGACATGGGGACACTGGGAGACATGGGGACCCTGGGAGACATGGGGACACTGAGACATTTGGGAACACTGGGAGAAATGGGGTCACAGACACTAGGGACACAGAGACATGGGGACACAGACACTGGGAGACATGGGGTCACAGACATTTGGAGAAACTAAGACACTAGGGACACATTGAAACAAAGACACTGGAAGACTAGGGGACACTGGGAGACATGGGGACACAGACTCTAGGGACACTGGCTGGGAGGCATGGGGACATGGGTGACACTGGGAGACATGGGGGCACTTGTGGACATAGACATGGGGACACTAGGAGACATGGGGACACTAGAGACATGGAGACATGGGGACACAGACATTGGGGGACATGGTGACACTGAGACACTAGGGACACTGGCTGGGAGACATAGGGAGACATGGGGACACTGAGACACTAGGGACACTGGCTGGGAGACATGTGGATGCTGGGAGACATGGGGACACAGACATTTGGGGACACTGGGAGACATGGGGACACTGGCTGGGAGACATGGGGACACTGGGAGACATGGAGATACTGTGTCCCTAGTGTTATCATGTCCCAATGTGTCTCCCTATGTCTCACAGCGTCCCCATGTGTCTCAGCTGTCTGGACTCTCTGTGCTGTGTAGCTGCTCCCCCACAAATCAGTGATTAGAGAGAGGCAGAGAGATGCTGTAACTTCCTAGTTCCATCAGCCCCTATGTTAATCCGGTCCTGTTTATATAGCGTCATCAGATTCCGTAGCGCTGTAGAATGGGTGGACTAACAGACATGTAATTGTAATCAGACAACTGGACGTACAGGAACAGAGAGGTGGAGGGCCTTGCTCAATGAGCTTACTTTCTAGAGGGTATGTACCCAAATGGACAATGTGGAGACATTATGGGGAATAATATATATATATAGTGTCTGTGTGTATCTATAATTGAAATTAGTAACTTGAAAAAATAAAATTTATATTTTGGAATAAAAATAAAACAAAAGAAACATAATATCATCTGCGTTAAAGTGTAATTTATAAATTAAAAAAAGTACAGTAACTTAAAAATATTCACAATTCCGTTTGTAAATAATCTAGCTGAGTGCACAGTGCCTGATTCATGTGAAATGTAAGATAGAATGGTCCGGGTTATAGAAAGAAGACATGATTTATTAATAAGCAATCGAAGGAGCTTTAAAGTGATTGTTTGGGTTTCTGAAAAAGGCACTAGACCAGGGGTGCCCAATAGGTAGATCCCCAGATGCTTTAAAACCACAACTTCCATGATGCTTAGTCATTGTAAAGGCATTCTAAAGGTATGCAAAGCATCAAGGGAGTTGTAGTTCTACAACATCTGGGGATCTACCTTTTGGACATCCCTGCACTAGACCATCCTGAAATCCATATAGTTATATTAGGAAATATTCACATTGCATATGAAGAAAAAGTACAATATTATGTCAGGAAAAGTGCTAGAACGTCCATAACACAAATTTATATTTCCAATGTATGGATTTCCCATACTGGGTCCTTTGTGTGATTTAAGATGAAGGATTGGCATGGGGTGTTCAGTCACTTGGTCACGGAGTAACTTTTTACAGACATAGTCTAAACGTTCCAAACTGACCACAACAAGTCCATTGGAAATCACCAAAGTTCCAAGTTAAAGAATCTTCTGAATAATGACCTCTGCAGATGCCTCCTAAGGACCCTCACTTGTCCAATAACCATAGAGTAAAAGTAAAACCTCAAAAAATATATAATGTAACTATATTATATAAAACCTATACAGCATTAGACAATACATGGATACCATGAACACAGCCTGCTGCCTGCACATTTACATGCTTGTCACTTTCAAGGCATGTTCCCTCCTGTTTTGCTTTGAGGACCTCCATTTGGGTCTCCATGTGTTTAGGGGGCAATATCTCCCCCCAACTCTCTTTTGAACACCGTAGGGGAAATAAATAACTTTCTGTTGGCTGATTGGGTTTTGGGGTACCAGTCCCCCCACCCCACCATTTTCAGAGTTCAAGGGGTCCCCCCAGTACAGGCAGCTGCTGCGGCAGCGGCTGCAGAGAGCGTCCAGCCTGGCAGGGCACAGTAATAGGGGTAGTAGTAGGGGGGCTGAAGGGGCACCAGGGATGGTCTGAGGACTTCTCCAGGCTGGTATTGTCTTTGGTCATCTCTCACCAGCACCTTAACTGCCACCTTTTTGGCCGCTGGGGCTGTGGCCAAGAGCTCTGCTGCCATCTGGCGGCGCTTGGTCTTATAGCGCCGGTTCTGGAACCAGATTTTGACCTGGGTCTCGGTGAGCTTGAGGGAGGCGGCCAGGTCAGCCCGCTCTGGCCCGGACAGGTAGCGTTGGTGGTTAAAGCGTCTCTCCAGCTCGAAGACCTGGGCATGGGAGAAGGCGGCCCGGGAGCGCTTCTTCCTCTGCTTGGGTGCCTCCAGCATCAGCTGCTCACACTTAGGGTCTGCATCTGGCGGGCTGGGATCTGGGCAGGAGACAGACACAGGGAGAGTCAAGAAATATTCACACATGAATTAATAGAGCCCCAGATTCATACTGTAACAGGCCAGTGTTAATGGGAGATACAATGACTCCATTCACACTAGAAATGTAAACTACAATTATACAATATATTAGATCTATCTGTCTGTCTATACATTATCTATATCTATCTATACATTATCTGTCTATACATAATCTATATCTGTCTATACATTATCTATATCTATCTATACGCTATCTATATCTATCTATATATTATCTGTCTATACATAATCTATATCTGTCTATACATTATCTATATCTATCTATACATTATCTGTCTATACATAATCTATATCTGTCTATACATTATCTATATCTATCTATACATTATCTGTCTATACATAATCTATATCTGTCTATTCATTATCTATATCTATCTATACATTATCTATATCTATCTATACATTATCTGTCTATACATTATCTATATCTATCTATACGCTATCTATATCTATCTATATATTATCTGTCTATACATAATCTATATCTGTCTATTCATTATCTATATCTGTGTATACATTATCTGTCTCTATATATTATCTATATCTATCTATACATTATCTATATCTGTCCATACATTATCTGTCCATACATTATCTGTCTATATCTGTCTATACATTATCTATATCTATCTATACATTATCTGTCTATACATTATCTATATCTGTCTATACATTATCTATATCTATCTATACATAATCTGACTATACATAATCTATATCTGTCTATTCATTATCTATATCTGTGTATACATTACCTGTCTATATACATTATCTATATCTATCTATACATTATCTATATCTGTCCATACATTATCTGTCTATACATTATCTATGTCTATCTATACATTATCTGTCTATACATAATCTATATCTGTCTATTCATTATCTATATCTGTGTATACATTATCTGTCTATATAAGTAATCTATATCTATCTATACATTATCTATATCTGTCCATACATTATCTGTCTATACATTATCTATATCTGTCTATACATTATCTATATCTACCTATACATTATCTGTCTATACATTATCTATATCTGTCTATACATTATCTATATCTATCTATACATAATCTGTCTATACATAATCTATATCTGTCTATTCATTATCTATATCTGTGTATACATTATCTGTCTATATACATTATGTATATCTATCTATACATTATCTATATCTGTCCATACATTATCTGTCTATACATTATCTATATCTATCTATACATTATCTGTCTATACACTGTCTGTCTATCTATACACTGTCTGTCTAATTTATAAAATACAATACTATATAAACATAAAATCAATACATATATTTTAGAAAATAGTTATTAGAATTGTCAACTCATGTAGTATCTATCTATCTATTATATCCGTGTGTCCATATTGATCACAAAGAATTTAATATATGATACCAGACAGAACGATTCATCTACATTCTGATTATTTTTCTTTAGAAATAAATATAATTTAGTACATTACCATTATTACCAAGAGCCATGTTTAATATTAGAGGTATATTATTTATCTACAGGTAAAATATCACAGGCATTTAATTAAGAGCAGGAAACAGCAGGAAGCCCCAATAATGTGCTGTGAACCTCAGGTTCTAAAGCAGCTATATTATAGCATATTATTACATTACATTAGCACCATTACTTGTCCTATAATAGTATAATATATTATATTATATTAGCACCATTACCTGTCCTATAATAGTATATTATATTATATTATATTAGCACCATTACTTGTCCTATAATAGTATATTATATTATATTATATTAGCACCATTACCTGTCCTATAGTATTATATTATATTAGCACAATTACTTGTCCTATAATAGTATATTATATTAGCACTATTACCTGTCATATAATATTATATTATATTATATTAGCACTATTACCTGTCCTATAGTATTATATTGTATTAGCACAATTACTTGTCCTATAATAGTATATTATATTAGCACTATTACCTTTCATATAATAGTATATTATATTCTATTAGCACTATTACCTGTCCTATAGTATTATATTATATTAGCACCATTACTTGTCCTATATTATTATATTATATTATATTAGCACCATTACTTGTACTATATTATTATATTATATTAGCACCATTACCTGTCCTATAATACTATATTATATTATATTAGCACTATTACCTGTCCTATAGTATTATATTATATTATATTATATTAGCACCACTACTTGTCCTATATTATTATATTATATTAGCACGATTACCTGTCCTATAGTATTATATTATATTAGCACCATTACTTGTCCTATATTATTATATTATATTAGCACCATTACTTGTCCTATATTATTATATTATATTAGCACCATTACCTGTCCTATAGTATTATATTATATTAGTACCATTACCTATCCTATATTATTATATTAGCACCATTACTTGTCCTATAATAGTATATTATATTATATTAGCGCCATTACCTGTGCTTTAGTATTATATTATATTATATTATATTAGCACAATTACTTGTCCTATATTATTATATTATATTAGCACCATTACCTGTCCTATATTATTATATTATATTAGCACCATTACCTGTCCTATATTATTATATTATATTAGCACCATTACCTGTCCTATATGACTGGTTACATATTAAATATCCTTATCATTCATTTAGAGTACTTCTCCTGGCTGGTAATATTAGAGTAATATTATTATTATCAATTATAATAATAATTATTGTTTATTTTCAATAAAAAAAATATGATAGATTTATTTAATGTATAAAACACCACACAGCATTATACAATATGAAATGTTTTACCCTTTTGACATAAAAGCTGCTAGGGCCTACTAGAAGAAATTCACATCCTTTTTCTATTCTTTTCAAAAAAAAATTCCCAGTAGAATCGGACGCCTTGTTCACTTATCCAGCTCAACATTGACTTTGGGTTCTAATAATGGCCAAGGAAAGTCAGGGTTCTAGATGAAAATCCATAGTACTATACGTAAAGCCACCTTATAGTCACTGTTCTCTAATTAAAAGCAGGGTTCTAAGAGAACAACCAACATTCTATATGTGCAACCAGTGAAATATAAGTGTAACCAGAGTTCTGTAAGTGTAACCAACGTTCTATAGGTGTAACCAACGATCTATAGGTGTAACCAGCGTTCTATAAGTGTAACCAACGTTCTATCGGTGTATCCAGCGTTCTATAAGTGAAACAAATGTTCTATAAGTGTAACCAGCGTTCTGTAAGTATAACCAACGTTCTATAAGTGTAACCAGCGTTCTATAAGTGTAACCAACGTTCTATAGGTGTAACCAGCATTCTATAAGTGTAACCAACGTTCTATAAGTATAACCAGCGTACTATAGGTGTAACCAGCGTTCTATAAGTGTAACCAGCGTACTATAGGTGTAACCAGCGTTCTATAAGTGTAACCAACGTTCTGGAAGTGTAACCAACGTTCTATAAGTATTACCACGGTTCTGTAAATATAGACATGGTTCTATAAATATTGCCTTAGTTGTATAAATATCGCCAGAGTTCTTTACAAGTAACCAGTGTTCTATAAGTACAGCCAGGGTTCTATATGTATAACCATGTTTCTATTACTGTAACCAGCGTTCTAGAAAATGTGCTATATTTCCATAAGTACAACCAGCGTTTTATAAGTACAGATAGTGTTCTACAGCCATCTTTCTATAAGTATAGCCAGCGTTCTATAAATTTAATCGGCGTTCTATAACTACAGCCAGTATTTTATAAGTTTACTAATCAGGGTTCTATAACTACAGCCAGCGTTCTATAACTACAGCCAGTATTCTATAAGTTTACTTATCAGCGTTCTATAACGACAGCCAGTATTCTATAACTACAGCCAGTATTCTATGAGTTTACTAATCAGCGTTCTATAACTACAGCCAGTATTTCTATAAGTTTACTAATCAGTTTTCTATAACTACAGCCAGCGTTCTATAACTACAGCCAGAATTCTATACGTTTATTTATCAGGATTCTATAAAACCAGCCAGCGTTCTATAACTACAGCCAGTATTCTATAAGTTTACTAATCAGCGTTCTATAACTACAGCCAGTATTCTATAACTACAGCCAGTATTCTATAAGTATAGCCAGCGTTCTATAAGTTTAACCGACGTTCTATAACTACAGCCAGTATTCTATAACTACAGCCAGTATTCTATAAGTTTACTAATCAGGGTTCTATAAATCCAGCCAGCGTTCTATAGGTATAGCCAGGTTTCTGTACGTATAGTCACAGTTCTATAAAACCCAGGGTTTTATTCTTAAATAGTGTGAACTCTTCACAGCAGAATACTGTTCCTGCTTCGAACCCACTGAAGGAATGAGGCTCAAGGCACTGACCCTATCGCAGCGTATATATATATTAAAAAAAAAAAGACACAAAAACGGTATAGCTATTTAATAGAATCATAACATTATAACTTCACTGTATATTCTAAAGGAATGGGATTGTTCTAGAAGAAATGAAATGTGTGCTATTATTATCAAAGTGTCTCGCTCCCCGCATTGAATGGGTTAAACAATGCAATGTACTAATAAACAATACAGAATAATGTTTAGATCCACTCTCTATGCAGATATTCACCTGAAATATTTAGCAGGATAACATCAGGTGACATGGATCATCATCAAAGTGTTAAACAACTATTACCATCTTCACATCAAAACAATACAAATAGATACCCTCCCACCAATCCTCACCCCCCTGGGGGCATTGCATCCCCTGTACTAATTTGTAAGCTCACCCCATGGAGGTCAGAAGTTAATTTTGGTTACAGAGTTTAATGTATCAGAGGACGTGAAGGGTGTGAGGTTATCCTCTCCCACTGATCCCTGCCCTGGCTGTCACACAGTGGACGGGAGGGCAGTCATTAGTTACATGGTATAGGCGATTGGAAATAGAAAACTTAGAGTTATCCACTAAAATGAGAAATCACGGTGCATTTCAAATTTAAGGTCAAAATAGACAAATTGGAAAAATTCTAAGTCTGCTGTGCTTTCAGATCGGTTACTTTGGCCTTAAATATGCAATTCTCTTTGAATTCACTATTAAATATGTATGCATCCAATATCTTATTCTATCTATCATCCATCTATCTGTCTGTCTATCTATCTATCTATCTGTCTCTCTCTATCTATCTATCTATCTATCTATCTATCTATCTATCTGTCTCTCTCTATCTATCTGTCTAGCTATCTATCTGTCTGTCTAGCTATCTATCTGTCTGTCTATCTGCCTGCCTATCTGTGTGCCTATCTGTCTATCTGTGTATTATTATTTTATGATTTATAAAGTATCTCTCTATCTATCTGATACACACACACCCACATTATAAACATTACAAAATCTGAGTAAATACGTATTTAATATCTCAGTATATTGTACATAAATAAAACTTAAAATGTTTGCAATTGAAGTGTGCCTCTAATAATAATAACCCGCCACTATAAAGTGCAGCTTTTTCTCTGCCTGAATTAGAAATGTTCAGAATATTCAGAAAATGCATAATAATCTATAATAATAATACAGTAATATATTTGATACATATTATACCGCCACTATAGCGTCATGATCCTTTCATTTTTAATGTTTGTTTATTTATATGTTTATTTTTACATTATGTTTTATTATGATTAGTAAACATTGTATTCATATTGTTTAATACTGTTTCTTAAATTAGTTTGTTTCCAATTTGCTTCCGCTAGCTCCAGCTCCGAGTTTACAGTATTATTTACTAAACGTGCAATTGTAGCGAATTAAAATTCGAATGGCAAAAATGAGACATAAATGCCAAGTTATGAGTCTAGCACATTTTACATATTGTTACACACATTTTGCCATTTGGATATCAAATCGCCGCAAATCGGAGTTTAGTGAATACAACTTAAAGCAGTAACAACGATTATTTGACGTTTAGATTCGCTCTGTTCATCACAGATCCCTGTTAAGGCGACATGGGATTTAACATCCAGTCAGGCCTATCCTCCCAGAGGCTAATCAATGAACCATGAACTCCTTGCAGTTTAATTAGTGCCATGATAATATGCTTTAGTGATCCCAAATCGGTGGCTACCTAAATACTAACACAGGGTAATACAAACCTACGTAATATGACATGGAATTAATTATTTTGGACATATGAGATTTCAGAAGTAAAAAGTACAATACTGCAAAATGCTTGTACTATTAATGAAATGTGTTAAATTATAAGATGTGTCACATGCACTATAGCCCCACTTGGTTTGTAACAATACAATTAACATTATTATCTTATTATTAATGCTTTTATCGTTATAATCATCGCTATTGTTTAGCCAAACGAAATACTTTTAAAGTTTAGAATTGTACAATATACACAATTGGACTGCACCTCTAGTAATCAATAAAATATTATTAATAATTAGGGACTAGTAAATTATATAACTAAGAATAATGGTGTCCATTTTTGTATTATCATTATTTTGGAAAAGGAAGCTAATTTTCAACTTTTAGAATTATTTCTGTATTAAAAAACTTATAGTATTTTTTATTTTTTATTATTATTATTAGCACATTTTTGGGGAGATCTATCTATCTATCTATCTATCTATCTATCTATCTATCTATCTATCTATCTATCTATCTATATCTCTCTAATTTCTCTATAATGAACGTCTGTGAGCAAGGACATTTGTTACACAATGTATGCAGCTTGTTATAACATAAGTACACAATGTATACAAGTTGTTACAATGTTTCTCAGTGGGAAATACTCTCTTGTAACCCCGCCCCAGTGGTAAATAAACAATCTATGATCAGATACAGTATCTGGCTTATTGAACGATATAATGATATTACATCCTGATCTATTGATTAGCTTTATATATCTAACTGGGGAGCATTGTGCAAAAAGAAACCGCACATCTTACACAATGACCCCGCAGCAAGATTCATTACCTCTTAATTATTTAGGAATTAGAATATGTAATAGTAATAATAATTTGAAGAGATGCCACGTACACTATTTTATTTGACATTGTTCCCTGTTTAGGCGCCTGATCCGACCTAATAAGGGACACCGTAGACTGGTTTATATATATATATGTTTGTACATATTTACTAAAACTTTGCTTTAAAAATTATCACTGCACTAACGTTGAAATATCTAACGTCTATTAATATTTTATAAGTATTTCTTGCTCTGCTTATATATGTATATATTTAGTAAATCTCGGCAAATTATTGATCTTTACTGAGAGTGAATCCTATGCTATGGCTTGATAGACAGACATAGATAGATTGATAGACAGACAGACATAGATAGATAGATAGATAGATAGATAGATAGATAGATAGATAGATAGACAGACAGACAGACATAGATAGATAGATAGACAGACAGACATAGATAGATAGATAGACAGACAGACAGACATAGATAGATAGATAGATAGATAGATAGATAGACAGACAGACATAGATAGATAGATAGACAGACAGACAGACATAGATAGATAGATAGATATACAGACAGACAGACAGACATAGATAGATAGATAGATAGATAGATATACAGACAGACAGACATAGATAGATAGATAGATGATAGATACTATGCGAGTCGACTATTCTAATTAGCATTTAACACGATGTGATACAGCTATGTGCACATTCCATATAGCTATCTAGTGAATTGTGATTAGATATAAATCATTTTTTGTGTTTTTCCAACACTCAATACATAATAAATGTCCCAATAACTGGATATCAAATACCTTGCTTTCAAGTTAATTCTATACACCATTAGCAGTGATCTCATACTGAATACCCTGTGCCATATGATTTGAGCTAAATAAATTTTTTTGCTAAGTTGTAACATTGTGCCTTTTGGATGTTGCCTTCTTCCTGCCATTATATTAGGGACTTGGAGTAAGCCATGTTGGAATGTGACTGATTGGGTAAATAAAAACCATTATAAACACACGAAACAAAATGTAACCGGTGTTCTGGATGATTAACCTTTAAGGGGCAGTATTGTTCATAACATATACTTTAAAAACCCTGTGGATTGTAGTGGGTTAATCTATATCTCAGATGATGTCTCCCCCTCCTCCCCCCATGCCAGATTCTGCAAATAAGCATGATGACCCCTGGGTACCTGAGACACTGGCTGACATCTCACAGTCACTGCAGCCTGGGGTCTCCTCTTCCTCTTCTTCTTTAGGTCTGACCTCCAGGGGCCTCTGCTTCTTCCTGCCCCCTGGACCCTCCAGCAGGCAGCTCTCCCTGGGCCTTGCAGGCTCTCCTTCCTCACTGAGAGCTGAGTCTGAGTCCCAGCCAGCCTGCTCCCCTCCTGCCCCCACTCCCTGAGCCCCACCACATGATCCCAGTCCTTCTGAGTCCACTTCTCCAAAGAGTCTCCAGCAGCAGGAAGGGGTAGTGGGGCTGCTGGTGGGAACAAGTCTCCCCAGCCTGGGGTAAGTCCCAGCTCTCTCCTCCTTCTTGTTCAGGATGGCCTGGATGGAGAAAGGGGTTAAATTGCTGGAGCCTCTGAGGGCCATCTCAGTTGAGGTAAGTCCTCTGAGATTTGGGGTGAGATCCTGACTGGTTGCAAAAAGAACCTAATAATCTATCTTCTGGTTATTGATCAATGGAGGGGGGGCCCTGTCCAGCACACCATGGAGAGCATTCGCCTGAAGTTATCCAGACCCTCTGGAAGAAAGGGATCCCAGGAAGAGGGGCCCAAATTCCAAAACAGATGGGCTTTCACCTGCCAAAAATATAGCCCCCCATAGGGATGAGAACCCCCAGCACTCTGATCTCCAGATGTAAGAGGTATATACTGCCTGCTTCCCTGCACAAACTTCCTCTGAGCCCTGCTTACTGTCTTCTCCTACTCCCCAGTAAAGGGAAGGACTTGTCACTCCTTTCTGTACAGTAATATTGTGTCCAGTCTTACAGTCCTGGGTCAGTTCTATCGTGAATTTTATACAGAGATAGAATGTCTGCTATTCTCTCTGCAAGTTAGATTAACTTGTCCAAATTGGATCCAGTGCAGGCTGCTTCCGCATACAGAGTGAATTCCGTAACCCACTGCAGGCTGTTTATCTATGTAGGGTGAACTCTCTGTCCAAGTGCAGGCTGCTACCCTGTACAGGACGAATTGTGTAACCCAGTGCAGGCTGCTCCTTTATATAGGGTGTGTTATGGTTATGTGTCCAAGTGCAGGCTGCTCCTCTTTACAGGGTGAACTCTGTGTCCAAGTGCAGGCTGCTCTCCTGTAGAGGACGAATTCTGTAACCCAGTGCAGGCTGCTCCTTTATATAGAGTGAATTATGTATCCAAGTGCAGGCTGCTACCCTATACAGGATGAATTTTGTCACCCAGTGCAGGCTGCTCCCCTATACAGAATGAATTCTGTAACAGTGCAGGCTGCTACTATATTGGGGTGAAAGCTGTTTGGTAGTGCAGGCTGCTATCCCATGCAGAGTGCTGGCTGCTCCTCAATACAGCATACAGCATGCAGGCTTCTTCACTAGACAGGGTGGATGCTGTTACAGAATGCAGGCTGCTCTTATATTAGGGTGAAAGCTGTGTGAGTGCAGTCTGCTGTCCCATGCAATATCCAGGCTGTTTGCAGTATCCAGGCTGTTGCAGAGCAGTGTCCAGGCAGTTTGCAGTGGCCAGGCAGTGTCCAGGCAGTTTGCAGTGTCCAGGCAGTGTCCAGACAGTTTGCAGTGTCCAGGCAGTATGCAGTGTCCAGGCAGTGTCCAGGCAATTTGCAGTGTCCAGGCAGTATGCAGAGTGCAGACTCTTTGCAGAGCAGTGTCCAGGCTGTGTCCTGCTGAGAGCTCTGCAGTTGGATCCTGCCAGTTGATGATGCTGTGTGCTCTCACCCTCTCTCTCACACACTCATTCTTCACCTGTGAGTGACAGCTGCGGACGGAGACTCCTGATTGGTGGGTTCCCAAGTCACGTCTCCTTCCCATTGGCCGATCTGCTGTGGGGAATGCTGACCTGGGAGAGGGGTTGGCTCATTAACCCTTACATGTCTGGCAGAGACCAACCACTCAGAGCATCAGACCCTTAACATACTCTGCACTGACTTTCTACAGCAATGCACAAACCAAGAGACCCACCAAAGGGCTGGCATGGGTTTTAATCATATATTGTTCTGTCTTGTTCTTAATACATCTTTTCTTTTTTTATTTTATCTTTTGCTCCTGTAACATTATTAAACTGTGTCTAACTGTGAGTATCTATCTATCTATCTATCTATCTACTGTGTCTATCTACTGTGTCTATCTATCTGTCTGACTTTCACATCTATCTATCCATCCATCTATCTATCTATCTATCTATCTGTCTGTCTGTCTATCTAGTCTGTCTGTCTGTCTATCTATCTCTGTCTGTCTGTCTGTCTGTCTATCTAATCTATCTATCTATCTATCTATCTATCTATCTATCTATCTATCTATCTATCTATCTATCTATCTATCTATCTATCTAGTCTGTCTGTCTGTATGTCTATCTCTCTCTCTCCCTCTCTCTCTAGTGTATTTCTCTATCTTTCCGTCTCTCTGTCTATAGAATAGTAATTATAATATGATACAATGTATAGCATACTACACTGCTGTAGAGAACAGACACGAAAATATATATTTCCCTAAATCTAATAAAGAAACATTTACAAAATGCTCATATAAAACATTATTTGAATTAATAGAAAACAAAAGAATACATTTCAATTTAATGGATGAGATTATAGATAGATATATAGTTTTATATAGTCTTTATATATAGATATATGAGCGATTGCATATCGCATACTGTGTTACTATGACTTATTTTGTACAGAGAAATCCACATATTGTTATTGGTATTGTTACAAACTGCGTACATCGTAATGTCCTTTAAATAAACTGATTATAAACGATTTAGTTATTAGCGAACACATTGTATGAGCATTTACAAATAATTATAAATGGACTGTTATAACAATTAGCTCCATGTTTAAAATATATATATTTTTTTAAAATGCACATTTCCCTGCTCGCTTTCAGCTTTTATTTATTTATTATTTTTTTTTAGACTTGATTTTATAAATTCTAATATATTAGATTATGTTTCAGAATATGAGATTATAAATAGCTACACAAGCCTATTGCAGAATAAAGGCGATGCGGTCAGTTCCTATGGGAATGAAAACATCATGTAAAAATAAGGAAATTCTATTAGTTAAAACGAAAGTTTCTCCTATTTAAAAATATCAAAGGAATTATAGCTAATAATGACAGACAGACAGACAGACAGATAGATGCATGATTAAAATACCGTAAACTTCAATGCCACATATATAAATTAGTAGTCCTTGTTTTATATATATATTAATACAAAGATACAACGGACTCTATCTATCTGTCTATCTATCTATCTATCTATCTATCTATCTCTCTGTCTGTCTATCTATCGCATACTGCAATACTCAGCTATTTCTGCATTTAAATTTATAAAACATTAATATAGTTACACAAACACACACACAAATATAATATATATATGTAACATATGAATGCTATGTTATTTTTTTCCACTTTCATATATTTATACATATATATAATTTTAAATATAAAAATAGTAATAATATTAACAGTGACACATGCATACATAGATAACTATTATGGTATGGGAGAGGAGGTAAAATACCATCTTATGTATAGAAAAAAAAATATCAACGTTAAATATAAAACAATGAATAGAAAAGTTTTCAAAGATTTTAAAATGAGACCAAATTTAGCATTTTTACAGGCTCGATACCACACTTACAGAAACAAATCCTGAGAAAAAGGAAAGAAGAAAGAAGGAAAGAGAGAAAGAAAGAAAAATAAAATGAAAGAAAGAGAGAGAGAAAAAATAAATAAAAAGAAAGAGAGAGAGTGAGATTGTCAGTAATTCTATGTACATGGAGGCAGGGATTGCAGTCACACAGTAGCTTGGTTCTACAGTGATCTATGACTGTGAACCTGGTGATGTGTGTCAGTAGGTGTCTGAGTATGGACAATGTGTGCTATTGTTTAGATGGACTTTGTGTTCAGAGGTGAGATCCTTTTAAACTGGAACCCAGCACTCAGTGCTAAGATGTGCTGTCTAAGTATAAGAGATACAATAACCATATGAAAATGAAAAGACACACAGTCCTAGGACCAGGGGAACTTCCCAATAATGGGCTTCAGGACAGCCCAGTGCCATTGTGCTTAGACCACTCATTAATAAAACAAAGACTGACACATGAGGGAGTTGGGTCAGGTCTGATGAGGTTTCCTGAGATCAGGCAGACAATTTGGGTGGTCTGTGTTTATTTCAACAGCGCTAACTAGACCCTTTCCTCTCCTCCCCTCTGCAAGACCCCTTAACTGTGTGTCATGCTGTGCTCCTCTTCAGCCTATTTAGTTTGATCCCCCAGGAAAGAAAATCTCCACATATTCAGAGATTTTTGTTTATTTTTACCCCACCAAGAAGTTAATGTATAGGGGCCAAGAGCAATAAGGCTCTGACATTGTGAAAGGGAAGCAGCCAGGTAGTTTTTCCAATTCTCTTGCCAAATAAAGGGTCCAGGAGAATCCCTTCTGTGCAAAGCATGGAGTTTCTTCATCATCACAATTCTAGTGGTTAAAGTTTTTTATTTTATTTTAATTTTTTTTTTTAAAAAGAGATAGATACGCAGTGATTGCTTGTATATGAGTCACTGCCTGAATGTTTAGCTGAAGGAGACCCCTGTATACCAGCTGGGAAAGCAGAGGTGAAGTGCTTGCCAGAGACAGGCAGTCACATTTTGTCACATAAATTAATAAACAATTTTAAATTGGCATGATCATGGTTACATTTTTAAAACAACAAAAAACAAAAAAAAACAACAAAAAAACTCAAAATGTACCACAGAATAACAAAACAATATCATTAAAAAAAATACTCATATAAAAACAATACACTTCAAGGAATACATGTGATAAATGTAATAAAATAAACTCAAATAAAAACAATAACAATTAAGGACTATTTGTGGTGAATGGATCCCTTTTTGAAAGTGAAAGTATTATTTTCTGTATTGATAGAGGGAGAAATAATTGTAAATTTTAAACTAACTATGTAGTTAGAATGTAATATAAAGTCACAAATATAAATTGTCCAAATTTGATATTATGAAAACAAATAATATATAGAACATCAGTTCTTTTTTTTAGAACTGTGTAAGAAAAAAAAATGTAAACACACATAATATAGGTGTGAGTATTTAATTCTATGTCTTCGCTAAGAAATATTATTTATTATATTTCAATACATTTTATACTGTATTATGAAATTATTATGACTGCCAAAGTACAGACAGAAACACCAAATCAGTTGGTAAGTTACTTAATGTCCCAAGTATTTTGGGGGGTTCATTATATCTCATCATAGAATATATACTGTCATGCATAAAGTGTCTCCCCAGAAAGGCAGCTTTGATTTTACATTTTTGAAAAAAAATTTTCCAACAGTTATAGTAGTTTTCATTCGCCACCTAGTGTTGCTATGGTATTACAGCAATAGAATATTTTTTTGACAGCCTTATTATTATTTATTATTATTATTTTATTATTTAGATAGCGCCATCAGATTCCACAGCACTGCACAATGGGATTATTGGACTGTACATAAAAAATAAATAAATAAGGTTATTCATTAGATAATAACCTAAAATTGCAAACATTATTACAAAACACCCGAGTAGGAAAATTTGTTGAATTGGTGAATTTTTTGAAATTTTGTTCTTTTGCTCTGAAATCATAGATTCACAATAAATTCACTTTCAATTCCCAATGATACTACACACTTCACACTATACCAGGTTACCTCTAAAACCCAGAATTGTACTAAATTTAAGTTTTCTGAAAAAAAGCTCACTTGGAATAAATCCAAGCAAATCCAGAAGACCTGGCAATGTCCCAAAAGGGAATTCCTGTGTATTCACCACCTGGGTCAAAACTTGCCAGCCCTCCCTCACCCTAACTGCAACAGTATCTTCTTTTATCCTTTTCCTTCTGATATGAATATAATTTTCTTCAAATATTTTTTTATTATTAAAGGGTTACTCCAACCACCTTGACCACTTCTGCTTTTAGTAGTGGCCATGGTGGTAGCAGTCTGTATTATTTTATTTATTTATAAAATATTTTACCAGTAGTGATGTCCCTAACGGTTCGCCACGGACGGCGAACCTATGCGCTGATCGGTCCGCCCCCTATTCGTCATCTTTGAGTAAACTTTGACCCTGTACCTCACAGTCAGCAGCCACATTCCAGCCAATCAGCAGCAGACCCTCCCTCCCAGACCCTCCCACCTCCTGGACAGCTCACTAAGAATGCAGCTTCACTATGAATGTAAAATGGATGCTGTTCAGGAGGTGGGAGGGTCTGAGAGGGAGGGTCTGCTGCTGATTGGCTGGAATGTGTCTGCTGACTGTGAAGTACAGGGTCAAAGTTTACTCAATGATGACATAGGGGGCGGACCGAACAGCGCATATGTTCACCATCGTGGTGAACCGTTCGGTGAACCGTTCGGGACATCACTATTTACCAGGAAAGATACACTGAGATTTCTCTCGTTTTCAAGTATGTCCTGGGTCCACAAATCCTTGCATTGTTACATTAGGGTACAACAAAATAGAAAAACAATATTAATAAACAATAAATACAAAATTTAACATAGAACAGGTGGGAAATATATAATCAACCATGACAGGTGCATTCTGTTTTGAGGTATGTAGAGAGGGATCTCTTAAAGGACTTTAGGCTTAGGGAAGATTTTAAATTGTGCGGGAGGTCGTTCCACTATTGCGGCGCTCTGTAGGTG